CAGTCTTAGGTACTTTCAAAAAAAAAGTTAACATGCTTAAGTACATCCACCCTACGTGTGTGAAGACACTGTAATCCATAAATATACTATAGTGTGGGGTTTACAATGTTGCATGCCCAGGTGAACTTGGGCAGCAGACCTGTGAGTCAGGGTTCTCCCTCGCTTCTGCAAGAGGAGCAGGATATACACAGGTGCTAGAGACTGAGCTTTTCCATTCGGCAGAGGTTTTCCCACTTGCGAGCGTATCAGAACCAGGAGGGCCAGGGGAAACAGGGGCTCTCAGGGCCGGTGCAGGGCCTGAGAATCCCTATCTCTATTAAGCTTCCAGGTACTGCTAGAGCTGCTGGTCTGAGAAAACTACTACCCTAAGTAAGAGAATTAAATATGGATTTTAAGAAATAGCATTTTTTTTTTATTTTTGACAGGCAGAGTGGACAGTGAGAGAGAGAGAGACAGAGAGAAAGGTCTTCCTTTTGCCATTAGTTCACCCTCCAATGGCCGCTGCAGCCGGCGCACCGCGCTGATCCGAAGGCAGGACCCAGGTACTTATCCTGGTCTCCCATGGGGGTGCAGGGCCCAAGCACTTGGGCCATCCTCCACTGCACTCCCGGGCCATAGCAGAGAGCTGGCCTGGAAGAGGGGCAACCAGGACAGAATCCGGCGCCCCGACCGGGACTAGAACCCAGTGTGCCGGCGCCACAAGGTGGAAGATTAGCCTAGTGAGCCACGGCACCGGCCTAAGAAATAGCATTTTAACACGGGCGCTTTGAAACTGGTCCACCTTAATCATGCCTTTAATGGTTCTTGCTTAGTTAATTCTAACCAATGGCTGGGCCATTGGAATAGACAGGTGTACGGATCTACCCATGTGATGTAGCTCATTTGACATTAACTTCTTTTGTCTAAGTCTATCCCTATGCTAAACCAATGGGTCTCAGATTTCACCTGGCTTAGAATCATCAGGAAGCTCTTTAAAGCATGGGGAGGCTCCATCCCCAGAGTTGTAGATTCATTAGTCTGGGGTAGGGCCCAAGAGCCTACATTTCTAAGAAGCCCCAGGCTGACATATGTAATCTGATCCCTTGGAACAGCTTCCACTCAACATAATTTGAGTTCAGTGAAGCGACTGAACTCAATTTGCTAAAATAGCACTTTATTACCTGTAATAAATTACCCATTTTTATCTTTTTGTATACAAAAACAACACATAATATTTTGTAATTTAATTTCTATAGTAGTTATTCATATGCTTATTTAATGACTTGGTTACAAAGCATAATTTATAGAGTTCACCAAATATTTACAACCTGCATAAAATATAATGAGCAGTCTGGAAATTGTCCCATCTCAATTCCAATCTTCGCATTTTGAACCTCATAATAACAGCTTATTTTTTGTAATCAAAGGAAAATTCAACTTGGTATAAAATAAGAGATTTATTTGTGGAGATTTTAAATGAGGGTTGCATTTTAGTCTTATGTAGAGCGACTCTGTGATTTCAGGCTGCTGTGCCGCGCCAGCTGTAACTTAATGAAAGGCATGCGAACTCCCTTCTGGTTGCTGGAGACTGAAATCCTTCCCAGCTAGCTGCACTCTGATAGAGAAATAAATAGATGAGAGAAACTAGAGCTGTTTTCTATTTGTTATGATGCTCAATGATAAATTATTCAAATACTTCATGGTGAAAACTGGACGAAGACGTGAGAATGATTCAGGAAAAAGAAAAAAATGAGAAAATGCCTTCTTCACATGGCTGCTTTATTCTTAAGTGCTTTAAGCTCCACGAACTTATGGGATTCACTTATTACCCAAAGGCCACCGAGACTGAAGTGAAAAGGGGTAGCATTTCTTTTTTTACAGAGGTACTTTGAGCAGAGGAAATGAAAGCTAAATTTTCTAACTGGAATGACAGGAAGGATTTAGGTAAGCATGATATAATGATCCAAACTGGAAAGAGGCCAAGACACCGGGGTCGAAAGCTCTCATCCTGTCATGGATTCATGGCAGCAGTAGCTCGGCTACATCCTGAAAAGGGACTGTAAAAATAACACCACGGAATCCCAGATTTTTCTCATCCTTTTCAACTATCAGGGAATCACACTGTTTCAGTCTTGTTGTCAAAAGGTCATTTCCTAAGTTTCCTTAATGGCTGAACTGTACGAACTTAAAGTGCACAATATTAAGTTACACAGCAGTGCCCCTTTATACACTGCTCTCTTTTACACAATTTTAGTTACCTGAAGTTAACCTTCATCCAAGAATATTAAATGGAAAACTCTAGAAACAACTGTAAGTTTCAGATTGCATTCTGTTCTGAGGAGTATGATGAAATCTCATGTTGGATCACTCTATCCTGTCTGGGATGTGAACTATGCCTTTGTCTAGCATATCCACACTGTATACACTGTCTACCTGTTAGTCACTTAGTTATCAGACTGACTGTTGTGGTACTGCAATGCTTGTGCTCAGATAACTTTCATTTTATTAGATAATGGCACCGACATGCAGGAGTAGTGATGCTGGCAATTTTATCACAGTATTTGTTACAACTGTTTCATTATTCATTGCTATTAACCCCCTACTGTGCCTAATTTATTTAATTAAATTATATTCTTAGTAGGCATTGTTCAGATGCTCCTTGATTTATGATGGAGTTATGTCCTACTAAACCTCTCATGACTTGAAAACTGCAGTTAACACACCTCACCTACCAAACATCATAGCTTAGCAACTCAGTACACTCGTGACCATGTGGTTAACTGGGCTGCCTAACATTGGAGGGAGCAAGGAACCACTGCTAGAGTGAGGTTCTACCAGAGATGTCAGGAATACGGGGAGAAATTTTTGCATATAACTGGGGAAAGCACATTGCAGGCACAGGGAGCAGCAGAAGCAAAATCTCTGAGGCTGGAAGAAAACACAAAGTACAAACGAGAAATGAAGGCAGAAGAGGGATGGGAGGCAAGGATGGCATCCAGCAGGGCCTCAGAGGGTTCTGAGCTGTGGAGTGAGAAATTCTGAATTACATTTTAAAAACTTCCCTCCTGCTGCTCATTTGGGAAAAAAGTAACAAGGACAAGGTCAAAGCAAAGACACCAGTTAGAAGTTTGTTGTGGTGAAAAGGGAGAGATGACATTGACCTGGACCATCACAATGACAGCGATGGTAAGAAGCAGCTGGATTTGGGATTTGTTTTGGAGGTGGAGAGTTTGTTAATGAACTGGTAAAGGTAGAACTAGAGAGAAACAGTTTGCTGACAGAGGGGTTAAAGTTCTGATTTGGGACTTGAAAGGATCCTGTACCATGTAGTAAAGGGAGAAATCACACAGAATTGAGCTTAAACCTTCTAAACAGGTGGAGTGGCAAATCGTGCTTATTTACTCTATGAGAGGGAAGCTGAAGAAAATATAAGCTGAGGTACAAAGATGTCTTTTATAATGCTGTCATCTTTTATTGGAAAAAGCACAATCATGTTGTCGGAGTCATACTCACCAAAAAATATTTTATATTGATTTGAAACCTCAACTCTGAAAACCTCATATTGCATCTAAAATTTTACTGCCTCTTAAAGTAAATGCTTGAAATGATAAGGGGAAAATAAAAACAAACAAACAAACAAACAGAGACTCTCAGCCAAAGTAAAATGGTTTGCTCAAAGTCAGGAGAGTTTCCTTTATGTGAAAGTTGGTTGTCCATGTAGAGTGCATTTAGATGCAAGCTGGTCCCTTTGCCTCAATTAAACGTTTGAAGAAACTCAAAAATCTCATAGAATATTCATAAGTAGGTTCTATACTCCAAACTTTCTTAACATATTTCTCTCACACACTGGTCACACAAAGACTCATCCAATGTTCATAAGAGCTATGCACTGAATAATATTTGCTTCCTCAATTCATGAAGATACCTAATACCTAAAGTCTTAAAAGTGGTGCCAAGAGAGGACGCTTAATCCAGTGAGGGTGTTAGGAGGTGGGCCTCGTGAGAGGATCTTACATTATTGGGAACACACCCTCAGAAGGTGGTTTTCACAAGAGGGTTGATTATAAAGGAGAAGCAGAGTCGAGCCTCTCTGCCTCCTGGCTCACCATACAATCCTCCCACTGTCCATACTCTGCCATTCCATTTTATGGCCTTACCAGATGATATTTAGTTATAGTGATGCGAAGGTACCACAAGCCAAGCAAAACACATCGATCACCCAGGGAATGCTGAACTCACAGAGTTAGGGAGTTACTTTCCAGTCCACAGTATACTTTGCTCCTACTTTGCAAGCCCACTATGAATAACATATGTTTGTTTCCAAATTTGTTTATGTCAGTTGCAATGAAAGACTACATAAGCCAATGAAATCCTTTTGGGGAAAGAAAGAAGGTGTTTGTTTCTTTACTTGAATATTTTGGAAAGATTATTTTAAGGACAAATTGCTTTAAAAAAGTTTCCTCAAACTCTGTGTGAACAAAAATACTAAAGGATTGGGGAAAGAACTCATATAATTCTAGGATTTTACACATAATTGCACTTGGATCCATGAGTGTCCTGAAACGAAGCAGATTCCTGAGACAGTGCATTAGGGGTGAGGAATGAGCCAAAAAGACCTCTACCAACACACCTATCCTTAGAAAAAAGGTTTTGATCTTAACATTAAAAGACTGAAAACTGAACACATGTATATGCTTCCAGTTAAATTATCTGTGTATGTTTTAATTTGCTTTTCTTAAAAGAATACTTACATCCTCTCACTGACTTTTGTAAAAAACTGACCAGGAATACAACTTCTTATGACTGGGGCTCACAGGACTGTCAGCACACTCCATGGCCATACTGAGTGACTGACATGTACCATCTAGGTTTGTATAATTTCTCTCATTATTCATACAGTTAAATCACTTAATGATGCATTTCTCAGAATGCATCCCTGTTGGTAAGTGACACATGACCATATACAAAAAAATTAACTTATACACACAAGGCAGGCAGCGAGGGAGCTGTTTGGGGGCTACCTTAGTTACTTCTGGATTTTCAGCCACCATATATGTGAAACTAATGTTCACCAGATCTGTACCACTGCAGACACAAACTATCCGCCCTTCCAGATCATTTTCTGATTTTCCAACAGCTTCAAGAGCAGCAAGGATTTTGGGATCCTACACAGAAGTATACAAATAGGAAAAAAGCAGGTTAAATTACAGAACATGAAGAAAGAAACATGATAAAAAGACACCACTTTTGACATAAAACATACATAAAGGAAAATTTTTTATCCTATTTTAAGTGCCCAGATATCTTGTGAAATGTGTAACACTACATATTATCTGAAATTCCTTGATTAGAAAGTATCATAAAAGTTTCCATTTAGAATATTATGTAGGAGAGTCTTTGTTTAGATTTTTGGTAGTTATATTGCAGGACCTGGAATTTGGCAATGGATTAGGAGAGTCTCGGATTGGGATTTGCTTATATTCACAAAAATCATAGAGGCCTCTCCTCAGAGAACAGTCATGAATAGCACGTTACTAAACCCAGCTTCCACACGTCATTCTCAAAAATGAGATTATGTCTTTCAGGAGCACTGTCATCTCTGGGAGCCAAAGGATCCTAAGAAGGCCACGAAAGTTTACCCTAATGGTAAATATAATAGCATCTTTGTTCTTCATCAGAACTTGGAAGAAGTCTCAACATACAGTTACACAGAAATTGCAACTAACAAAAAAAAATAGGGCAGCTTAAAAAATAAAAACAACATGAAGAATGTAATTTTGTTTTGAGCAGCTAAAACTCCTCAGAACTACTAAGAAAAAGGAAGAAATATTGCACTAGAATATTCTAGAAGGAAACCTCTTTCAAATTCCTAGCACTAGTATGCAAAAGTGTCTCTTGCAAACAAATCAATCACTGTGAAGTAGTCCAATTTATATGCTCTGTTAGTTTTTTTTTTCTCTGAAAGGAAAATTGAGCCTTCATAGGGAGCCAATGTCTGCGTGCACAGGTGCACAAATGTGGAACTGCTTGAGCCATTTCCACTCAACCACAAATGAGAAGTGAATCAACAAAAATGGGAGTGTGTTATCAAATTAATTTCTGAGTTACAGGAATTGTTTCTTTGATGTTGGTATCATGCCAGGGTCTTGGTTTTCAAAGGTTAATAACATCTTTAAAGATAACACAATCCAAATCTCTCAACAGTTACAGATGAAAAGATTTCTAAATGTATCTGTTCTTAATTCTCAGGTGGTGATTTGGGGTTAGTAACAGGGTAAGCAGCATTTTGAAGACCATTTCCAATCTGCATAAATCTAGCAAACTCCAATCACAGGTACCTTTGGGACGGCTCCCAACCGAACACTGTTGATGAGGGAGCATTCTAGCACTTGTCCTTCCTGAAGAGAAAGAATACAACACAGTAATGAACTTGAATTCTGCCAAACCTATGGTGCAGACTAAGAGCTGAGCAAATGTTTTCTGATGATGAAAGCAACACTAATTGCAATATGTTAGAAGGAGTGAAAACATTCTTTCCAAAAATCAGAAATAATCACGATCCTAAACTTTCTATTTCAAATACTATATGAACACGACTCTGAATAATTGTTTCTAAAATGTTTACAAAATACTGTATTTTATGCATATAATATTATTAATAATGTCTGTATGCCACTAAGTATATTCGTCAATAAAATGTTAAGTGGAAATAACACTATTATATAATTCTAATTCTACTTCTCTTAAATATAGCTCCAATGTTCATTAAATGTGTACACTGTGCCATACATCAAATTAAGTTCCAGGTTATAACAAGATGAAAACACCTTTAGTGTGACATTTAGTTTTCAATTTGACACCTCTTCTACTAGGAAATCTTTGTAATTTCCAAAGTTAAAGCAGACCTTTCAGTTATCAGTTGTGTAAAAATTGGAACTGCTGTTTCACAACACACAGTGGCTTATGACTCTTTGGTAATGCCTGACTTTGCTCTTAGGTTTGAATCCACAAGGGATAGGACAAATGTCCTTGATCTCCAAAGCCTGGCACTTGCAACCTGTTTTTCAAATTTTTGAATGAATGAATAAGTACAGGAGCAATGCTCTCAAGAGACATTTGGGTCTACTGCTGAGGAATGAAATGGCTTAATGCAGAAAGTAGGAACAACTCAATGTTTCACACATACCTTGCCCTCACTTTTCCATGTCAGAAAGAAACCAAATTCATCCACTTTGAAGAGGCAGTTGGGTTCAAACACAAAGGATTCCTGTGGGAAAGAAATATGTTGATCTTCATGACTCATATTATTTTGAATCTAATAAAAATGCAAATATCTTTGAGCCTCTAAACATAGGAAAATGAGAAATCATCCTTTTGCATTTTTATTCTAATAAACACATTTCTTACTATAACACAGAACATTATCATTTTGAAAACTCTGCATTCAAATTTGCATTGAAAGACTGATCAATTTAATATAGTATTTTCCTCTAGAACAGATTCAAGAGCAAACTACACATGTTCAGAACATCAAAGAGAAGAAAGTTTCCTTGAACTCCTGGAAAAAAGAAGAATCCAAAGCTCCAGCCTGCTAGTCTTCCATACAAGAGGAACCATTGTCTGTAGTTAATATAATTTCAATTAGAAATATTTTTTAAAAGTCACTGTTGTAGGGATTTTTTTATCTGCAAAATTCAGTATTCAGATACTTACTCAGAAAACTGCTGAAATTTTTTCCTTTTTAGCCAATCTCATTTGGTGTCCTATAAAGCAGGTCTAGAGCAGTACTTTGAGCTATTCAGAGTATATTCCTAGCACCAGTGTATTCCTAAACCAGCAGCATCAACGTGATCCTAGGTTCTAAAGTCCACAACCTAGGGCCCTCACCCAGATGGACTGATCATAGCACCTGGGGATACGGTCCAGCAGTCTGTGTTCTAACAACTCCCCAAATGATTCTGAGACACACTAAAGTCTGAGCACCCCTGCTACGGACTTTTGACACCAGAAACACAGTGACAACTATGGATCAGAAATTTGAATCAGGAAGGAATGTTAGCCAAATTCGGGGTACCAGAACAGCGATGCTGTATTTCCAACAGATTCTTGGTCTTTAGTAAAAGAGCACCACTGTGTTGGGGAATGCCAGGAAAATTCTCTGCCAGTGAGAGTAAAAAGGTGTTCAGGAAATGAACCCAGATGCCCTGAGCACTCTGCATTACACTAAGACTTGGCATCCAAGCTTAAAAAAAAATCAATGGGTCTTGTCATGATCTAAAGAATCTATGTTCCTAGATCATTGTAATACCAGCAATTAGAAATCTGTCTGATAAACACGGATCAAGACAGTTACTTAAAACAAATAAACAGCAATTACAGGATAAGATTTTAAGAGTATTTCACACATGGTTTCTCCCATCACAATTTATCTTTCTAAATTTCAGGGAAGCAGTGATATTCACCAAAGTAAACCCAATGTCAAGATACTAGGCCATCATAAAATGGCAGAATGGGGTCATCGAACAAAACCAGCTTTCAGTTTGTGTGGGCAGTCTTCCAGCAGATGATGAGTTACCACACATATTCCTGTCTGATATTAGACATGTGCTATATACTGCAAGGAATAAGACAAACGAAGGGGTATGTTGTGATTTTTGTGTTTGGAATCAAAATCCAGTTCTACCATTTACTATTTGCCTTCTCCTGGAAAAAGACCTTCAAAAAAGCACATGGAACAGAGTTACAATTCAGAAGCAGTAGCCAATAAGGTATAGCTCAAATTTGTAATTGTGGTAGCAAATTATTAGGTATATCAAATTGCCAGTATGTGGCATTTTTTACTCCTTCAAATGGCATTTTTAAACGTTCAACCTTTTATAAAAGACTTAACCCAAAAATTGCTCTCTGAGAAGAGTCTTCATTCTAGATAGCCAGAAGAGCATTGATAAAGACAGACAGAGGGGCTGGTGCTATGGCATAGCAAGTAAAGCTGCTGCCTGCAGTGCTGGCATACCATATGGGCACAGGTTCAAATCCTGGCTGCTCCACTTCCGATCCAGCTCTCTGCTGTGGCCTGGGAAAGCAGTAGAGGATGGCCTAAGTCCTTGGGCTCCTGCACCCATGTGGGAGACCCAGAGGAAGCTCCTAGCTTTGGATCAGCACAGCTCTGATCGTTGCAGCCAGATGGGGATTGAACCAGTGAATGGAAGACCTTTCTCTCTCTCTCTCTCTCCCTGTGTCTCTCTCTCTGCTTCTCCTTCTCTCTGCATAACTCATTCAAATAAATAAATAAATCCCTAAAGAAAAAAAAAAGCCTGACAGCATGTAGTTGGATCATGTTCTAAAAAAAGATGACTTGGCTCTGAGGCCTTCTAGTCTGGTGTGGTAGGAGATGCCATGGAATCCATGAAAATGAGCTATGTCCTTAGAAGGGTCTTGCATGCCAAACAAAAGGCACAAGGCTTTACACAACAGGCCATAAGGAATCCTATATGGCTACTGATTAAGGAATGAGAATTATCAACTAATAAAGATATAGGAATTAACACATTTCTGAATACTTCCCAAGCAATATCTTGATGATAATGAAGAATTCTTGTGCACAGCATTCAAAAGTATATCCCCAAATGGTATTTACAGAGTGGACCCTCAATGAATTGTCTACCATCATTATGTACATGTGTCCTATCACCTACTTTCAAATAAGTATTCGAGATGACCTATGAAATATAAGAGTACTTCAAAAAGTTCACAGAAGGATGTAAATAAAATAATTTATTTTGGTACGAGTATTTTAAAATCCATATGTAATTTTTTAATAATAACTATTTTCCATGACCTTTTTGAAGTACCCTTATCTATACAATTTCAAAACTGTTTTACACCAAATAAACATCATGTAGTCCCATTTTTGAGCAATGTTCTGAAACACGCTTGTATATGCAATAAATAAGAATAGCTTTCAAATTTTTTGTGAGGCTGAACCTTCTCTTTCTTGATTTCTTTAAGCACAATGCTGTTTTTCTTCCTTTTCCTGAAGGTGCCCCCAGAGCTTGTCATCATCACTTGGAAACCATAATTCTAACATCCCAGTCAGAGGCCATTTTATCTGATCCTTCTGGGCCCTACCACTAGAGTCCTCACTCTCCTATATCCATCTGAATTTTTTGCAACTTTCTCATCATTCACCCTACCAGCCTCTCACTGCCCAACGGACGCCTCCTTTTTTTTACTTCCATCTTTCTCTGGCCTATTTCCATGGTCCCTCACAGATGTTCTCAGGTCCCATGTTTTATTTTCTGTTTTGTCGGCCAGAAAATCAAGTTTATCCTAATGATGGTTTACTATTGAACTTAAGGACAAAAATCACAAAACGGAATTATCTGTCTTTAAGGTTACAAATCTCAAATAGACAGTCAAGTGAATTTCCATCTTACATTCCATTCTTAATAGGTTCCCACTCTGTGAGGGGGCTATTTCACTGCTTTTGTTGAGATTTATTCACTTTTAGCCAAATATAGGGCTTCACCAAGTAAGGAGAAGCCATCAGATGGAAACCTGTCCTCATCTTCCCTCCTAACAAAGCAAGCTTTCCTCATCCAGGTCAATTCCCCCGCTTCTGCTCTGGATTCAGTTTCTTTTTACCTACACAAGGACTTCTGTCCCTGGTTTGTCAACACACATCACACACCAGGGTTTTCCCACCTCTGCAAGATCATTGCTATCATACACAAAGGCTTCTGACTTTTTTCCATTTCCACTTTATGTACTGCCCATACAGCCAATTCCATTCAGGACGTTATGCTGAGAAAAGTCTATCCATATTCAATCTGTTCACTACTTCTTTTTTCTATACTATCTTTGATCAACTCTATTCCATCTCTGTCAATCTCTAAAACTTCTTTGACAAGTTCCCCATGCTGCCAAATGCAGCACACACCTTCCTTTTTCTCATCTGATTTGAACTCTGAGTGGCTGACTATTCCCTCCTTGAATCATTCTCTAATCTTGATATCCTAATAGTGCTCCATTCCCAGAATCTCATTTCTTATTCCCTTCTACACTCAACCTTCTATATTTTCCCAGGATCTGGTTCTGAGAATTATCATTTCCATTGTGTTTTAAGATTTCATTTAATTTCATAAATTCAATATCAACTATTTGCTATTTAAGTTCCAAATTCAGATATTTACTCTCTCCTTTTTATTGCTACTTGGATGTCCCAAAATTAGCATGACTACAAATGAATTCTATATTACATACCTTCTCTGTAAGCTTTTCCTTTAGGACTCCACTGGTTCAATCAATATCTGTAGCATTTACTCACTTACTGAAAATTTAATAAGTTTACTTCCATAGAATTTTCCATATTATCTTTTTATTCTATCTCCAATACTAGCACCTTGCTCCAGGCCATCATCACCTCTCCTGTGAATTGATCTTCCCACCTTTCTTTCTTCTCACAGCAAGGTTGATTCTTTAAAATTCTAAGCAGCTCAATAAAGTGATTCATTGGATTCCTGTTATATTTAGGAATCAATTTTGCGATTTTTATCCTTAAGTGATAAAACATGCTTAGGATAGACGTGATTTTCTGGCCAATAAAACAGGAAATAAGACATAGTAGTTGAAAACATCTGTGAGGGGTGATTGCAATGCTAAACCATGGAAAAAAGCCAGACAAAGATGGAAGTAAAAAGTGGAGTCTGATGGACAGTGAGAGACTGGCAGGGTAAATGATCTGAATCATTCAGACCTGAATAAGGGCAATGTGTTGAAGCTGTTTGCCTAGAGGAATGGGCAACTTTTTCTAATCCATACAAACTCATTTTAAAAGGAGGAATCCTTGAGGTATCTCTTTGATTTCCCAACTGGATCAGGAGTAACATTGGATGCCATTGCAAAGAAATCATTCTCAAAATAGGATAAGAAATCTGAGCAAGGAGAAGAAAAATACAGGAGAGCAGTAAAATAGAGACATAAAGGTAGATCTCAGAAATGCCTTCATAAGGTCCTATTATAATTAGAATAAGATGCCAATTTTCGGGGCCAGCACTGTGGTATAGTGGGTTAAGCCATGGTCTCCAATGTTAGCATCCCATGTCAGTGCTGGTTTGAGTCGCAGCTGCTCCACTTCTGATTCAATCCGCTGCTAATGTGCCTGGGAAAGCTGCAGGAGAGGACCCAAGTTCCTGGGCCCCTGCACCCAAGTTAGAGACCCAGAAGAAGCTCCTGGCTCCTGGCATTGGCCTGATACATCCCACGCCA